CTGTTTATGTATCCCTTCCCCGACTATGGTATTCAGTGAATGTTCCCCCAGCTAAAACAATGGGGAAGAGATTGCACACCAAACAGTTGTAAAATAATGAAATTAACTGTACAACTTGATTCCACCACCCCCCCCATACTTGTAGTAAAACTACTACATAAATTACTGTAAAAATTAACAACAGTGGAGGCGAGAGCTACCACGGTCAGAACAGGATTCCCAGGCTTGAAGGGGTTAAGCAGATCAGTCCACAAGGGAAAAAAAGATTCTTCATTTGCCTTCATTAAAGACTAATTTTAGGTCTCTTGGTAATTAAATGAACACATTGTTTATGCTCCATACACTTTCTGCCCCGAGTCTTGGAAAATACATGAAATTTCCAAGAATTAAAGTTTCCATTAACACAAGTGCCAAATCAGGAGGCTTGACCTGTGGGAGAAAGCATAGTTGTCTTTGCTGGCTACTTTTCGAAAAGCTATAGAACTATATTTACTGCAGAAACTTTCTTGCGCGCAGTTGCTCTGTTTTATCATTTAGGCCATCTAGACAAGACCGAGAAGCTGCAGCATTTCAGAAAGCAACCAATTACTGCAGAATGACGGGCTGAGTTCTAAAGTGTTGACAGCAGTCCCTGTTTGGAGTAAAATTTTTTATTGCAAGAGACTTCGAGTGGTTTATCCTTCTACTTTTTTTTTTTGTTCGTTGTTTTGTGTGTGTGTGTGTGTGTGTGTGTATGTCTTTAATTCCCTGACAACCAGCTTTGCTGATGAAGAAATAGACGTAGCGGGTTTCAGAACATCTTCCACTTGTAGCGTCCTTACCAGACGGAAATTTAATGTAAATAAGTGATGTGTGCCTGCCTGAACTCGTAAGTATGAGGCTGGACACCTCAAAAGACTATTTTCTGCTCTCTGTATCTGGTTTTATTCAATCTGAAGTAGCACAGTTATCTGCCCAGGTTTAAAAAAAAACTCTTTACGTCAGTGGACTTGGACACAGAAAGTTCTCCCTCCTGAGCAGGGAGCCTTTTAAAGACGTGCGTGTCACGCTGGCGGCAGGGGGTCGCAGCTACTGGGAGAAGAGCTAGTTCCGCAGGCCCCGCCCTCCCCCCACCGTCGCCCCTCCCTCTGGCTGGCTCCCTACCTCCCCCGGACTCGCCCTCCCTCTCGCCCTCCCGCCCCCAACTCGGCAATTTCGGCGGCCTCAGAGGTCTGGCGCGCGTCAAAGCCCGAACTGGGAGCCTGATTTGTGGAGCATCACCCCCAGCTCCTCTGCCCCACTGCCCCTCCTCCGCCCCAGGCAGCGGCCAAGGGATAGAGCTGAGCAGGGGGAGGGGAAGATCTACACCCATCCCCCTTCCTCCAAACTTCCCCGCGTTCAGATTCAATTGCACCTTTTATTATTTTAACTCTTCTCCCTCGGACACGCGGCCCCCGGCTCTGTCCCTCCGGCAGTCGCGGTCCCTGCTCCCGCGCGCCGAGATGGGACAGCGAGGGACCTGCCCGCGGCCGGCCAGCGTGTGCCGGGAGCCGAGGCCGCCGCGCCCGCTGCCCAGAGTCTGTAAGTTTCAGCGCTCCTCCCGGGGAGGGGAGGGGGAGGCTGTCGCGTCCCCGCAAATGATTTAAAATGCAAAACACGGGCGAGGTTTACAGCGTCGGATGGACTTTTCGGGGCACACTCTTTTAATGAACTCTAGCCGCAGCCCACAGGCTGTCGTCCGGGTTTTTCCTGCAGCTTGTATCTTCGATCCCTTCGCTGTAAAGAAGTTTTCAAGTTACAATATTGAGTCCCGGTGGGAATTTTTTTTAAATGCAACTCGTACTTTTTTAAAATTTAAAATACTTCTTCGTAATTTTCAAGGTACACAGCACACCGCTAATGACAATTTTGTCGATTTACACCGAATATGTCATTTATACTGCGCAGGAGGCCACGGCCTTTTCTTTGCCTACTTCTAAAAATAACGGGAAAAGAATTTCCCCTCATTGCTTTTAATATTGCTGTATCACGTGAATAGTAAATAGATCGTGATACCCAGCTGGCCTTAATTTTCCTCCTAGATGCCGTGCGCGTGTATCCTTTGCACTAACGTACAGACGCGGCATTGAGCCTGCTGCTTACAGATAGGCTCCTGTTTTGTTTTGTTTTGTTTTACCTAAAGCTATGCCCTTATGTGTTAAAAACGATAAGGAAAATTAAAACAGTTCTTATTCAGACCAAGTAATTTACCCAGGACCCCTGAACTCAAGCACTAACTAGACTTGTGTTTAGTTTAATAAAATCATACCTTTAGCTTTGCACGTCACCTCGAATGTATAGACACACCCCTACATGCGAGGACCAAAGAGCCCAGGAAAGGGGTCAGGGGAGGGGGAGGGGGTATTTAATCTTCATTTCTCTCCTGCAGGAGGACGGGTCTCCAGGGAAGGAAAGGCAGGTCAGAGACAGGTGGATAGGCTGGCTATGGTGACGGGACGATGTTGGCCAGAAAGAGCATCATCCCGGAGGAGTATGTGCTGGCGCGCATCGCGGCGGAGAACCTGCGCAAACCGCGCATCCGGGACCGCCTCCCCAAGGCCCGCTTCATCGCCAAAAGCGGGGCCTGCAACCTGGCGCACAAGAACATCCGGGAGCAAGGACGGTTCCTCCAGGACATCTTCACTACCTTGGTGGACCTGAAATGGCGCCACACGCTGGTCATCTTTACCATGTCGTTCCTCTGCAGCTGGCTGCTCTTCGCCATCATGTGGTGGCTGGTGGCCTTTGCCCACGGGGACATCTATGCTTACATGGAGAAAAGCGGGATGGAGAAAAGTGGTTTGGAATCCACTGTGTGTGTGACTAATGTCAGGTAAGGATGCTGTGGGATGAGGCAAGGTTGGAAAACAGCACAGAAAAAAAAGATTAAACTGCCCTTTCTCTCTTCACTCTGTTATTTTGTTGCAAGGGAACTTAAGGTTTGCTGTACTATCTTCAGAAACAAGTTAAAAAAAAAGAATCTAACGTGTTGACAGTCTTTTTAGAGTCAGCTTTACGGATGAGGAGTCCTTGAAAATGTGGAGTTTCAAGCCCTTGGGCTGGCCTCGAAAATATTCCACCAGTTATTTTGAAATGGTTGTGGTTCAGTGAATTCCACAGAATGCCTTCCTAAGAAAACCCCACACATTTAGTTTTCAGTATGAAAAAGCTGCTGTCCATAGTTCCAGTGTCCACAAGGAAATATCTCTGATCAACAGAAAATACTGTGCAAATGCTAGTCATGTTTTTCCACAACTTCTCTTAACATTTTCAGAAATAATGAGAAAAATGGGAAAACACTGGTGGAGAGGTGTCCTAGATAAAAAAAAATAAACACTACAAATGAAATAACTTAAATATAAGTCTTTCTTTGTCAAGATTATCTTAAATAACTGATTGCTTGCATTGAATTCTAAAATTAAAAGTTATGCTAAGATTCAGAACTAGAAAAAAATAATTTTTAATGGATATTGGTCCAAATTTTTAATCGAAGAAATTATGCAGAAGCAACTTCATGTTGTGGTTTTCTTTAAAAGTTTTAGTAGGATAGGAAGACAGTTTTTAGATTGCTCTAATTTTGGTTTTTTTCTCTTAGATCATAAATATTTCAACGATAAGTAAAATGAATTTTATTTCAGTGATTCTCTTCTATTTTCACATGGCCCAAGAACATTTGCTTCAGGTGAATTTTCTCTTAATTTGTTTTGTTGGAAGATCAAAAGAAATCATTCATGTCAATTACAAAAATATTCACTCTGAAGCGAAACATCAATAATAATACTAGAAAGTTTTCCAGGACACTTTCTGAATAATATTCCAAATTCACATAGTGCGTAAAGCAAAGCAACTTGAACCAGCACCATTCTGCCAGGAAACTGTGAAGAATAAGACCTTTACTGACCTTCAAATCTTACAAGATTAGTTCCCACTGTAAGAAGTGGGAACCCAGACTGTAAACTTGTCCATCCTTCTATTCCCTGAGTGGGTGCAGTGCCAGCATATGGGGCAAGGTGTCGGGGTAGGGGGCAGGGAGGGGGCGGGGGTGCAGTATGTGTGTGCAAAAATCACATGCCACCAATTTCAGCTCAGATTTTGAGGAGAGAGAACGATACTGAACTGACCCATTGCCTTTACCACTGAGTTAGACATTATTTTCTTGTCTTCAGCTTGTCACAAATTTTTGCCTTAAAGAAAATATAGGGAAAATGTAGGTAATCATCAATATGCCAAATATAAAGGAAACAATTAAAATATTGTGTTTAACAGGTACATGTAGGTCAAATATATCTATACTATTTCTCTTTAAGAAATTTATTGGCACTGATATTGGGGAACCATATTCCTCTCAAGGCACATTTTTAATACCCATGAAGTAGACACTCTTCAAAAGAGATAAAAGAAACAAAAATGATAAACCTTGAAAGGTAAATGACAGATTTTATTCACAAGACAAGTATGTTGGTTTTTCTTGTGGAAAAAAAAAGTCATTAAGCAATTTATTAAAGATACATCATCAAAAGTGATACATTTTCAATGATTTTTTAAGAAGAACTTTAGAGTACACTGGTTATTAAAAGCTGTTTTACTGCTCGCTCTTATTTTGCAACAAGATGTGTTCTGAAGTGTGTTCATTCTCCTGGTTAATTCCTGCTGGTGTGAACATCCAGTTCGCTGTGAGAAATGGTATGGGGGTAGGTGTAGCTCAGGTGGTAGAGCACATGCTTAGCATGTATGAGGTCCTGGATTCAACCCCCAGGACCTCTGATGAAAAAGAACAAACTAATAATGAATAAATAGACCTAATGACCTCCCCCCCAAGACAAATAAATAAATAATTTTTTTAAAAAATGGTATCACAGAAACAATGAGACAAAGTTGATTTTGTCAGCCTAACAATTTTTAGCATTTTAATTGCACTTTTACCAAAAAAAATTATTATTTGACATCTTTTAAGGTTAAAAATCTTACTGGTTTTATTTTCCCATGATGATACTATTTATACTTTCATGCAATGTACACACAGTTTCACCATAACAAACTATATATAATGAATACTTTTTTTGCCAAAAAAAATTGAAACAGAAAAATCTCTATTCTCTTCAAAGGGGATTTAAAAGATGACTATATAATATGTCTAATTCTTTGCATTTCCTTTCCTTTAGTAAGCTCAATGTCCCACCTTATCATCAAAACTGAAAACAACTTATTGTAATGAACACTCTCCAGTGTGTCCAACTTACATTTTACCATTCTCACTTTCCCTTTCCTGTGGATGACTTTCTAACATGAGTCACACAATAAACCAACATATTTCTTCTTATTACTCAGCCTAACTTCCTCTGTAGCAGCACAAGCGAGCAGCTAAACACTTTTGAGGTTATTTAGCATGTCAGGTGTTCATAAAAGGCTGGGTTGGGCACCCTATAATGGTTAGAAGTAAGTTCTTTCATAAAATAAACAACATACAAAATATGGCACATGAATAGTCTCTTAAGTCATGAAAACTGTACATCTGGAGATGCTCGTTACACTGCTCCCTGAAGCGTGCAGACATTGTTAGAAATCAGTGTTGTGTCTGTGCCCTTTCTCTGGGGTCTGTTCTTATTCTTTGCCATGTTTTTTGGATCATATGGTAGGTCCTGTGTGTAACTAGTATAAAAAGCAATTGTTGTGATTTCCCATGAATCCTGTTTAGCAACAGAAGGGGTTTTTAAAAAAAAAGCAATTTTCACACTCCATTTAAAAGCTCCATTTAAATCATGTGTGACATCAACTATCATTTAATTAAAACATTTTTAAGATCCCTGATTATGAGCCCAAATAGAAAAAAAAGAATCATCTATGTGTGCTTGCGTCCCTCTTATGATGTCCCACCAAAGTGCAGTGTGTATACTCAGTATTCAGATGTTTAAACATTTTGCTCACTCACTGTGTGACATTAATAGACAGATTATACTTTGACAGAGGGCATATCTTCTAATAAACTTAGGGAAGTTTGAAATTGGGGTTGAGAGCAAACACAAGACTAAGACTGTTTCTATTAAGAAGACACAGCAAGGTGGGATATGTAGTCAAGTGGTTAAATTAATGACAAGAATAATCCAGTGTGGTGCTTCTCAACCAGGGGGCTAAATCAGAATGATCAGGTCATCCAAATCAGACCAGGTCTACCCTGAGTCTATCAAATCCATGTTTACACTGAGATCAGGAAGAGGAACACAGTTTGAAAAAGCTTCCCATGTAAACCCTGACACTTGTTTGCCCCTTCCCTGTGCCTCTTGCGGAGACCAGGCCAGAACTGAGAGGATCCAGGTTCTCCTTATGTGATCTTGACACTGTTCCTTACCAATCCCTACCTCAAATCCTTCCTTTCATAGTTTCAGGATTCTCTAGATCGTTTACGGAGCGAAATGAGACCATCAGTAAGAATACATTTTTCATCCCTAATGGTATACCATTCTTGTTTGTTAAAAAAAATACTAATATTTTTGAATGATGTGTTTTGTACCACGCTTTAGCTTTCTCTATAGAAGGTACACAATCAGTGTTCACTAATGAATATGATTTTAATGGTTGGAAATAATAAAAAGTTCACTCATTACACAGTGTGTTCCATATGACTCAAGTCACTTAAACACAGATACGCAATAAGTAATAAACATTGAGCTGGAAGAAAGTTACCCAGAGTTAACTGTGCCTTTGTGGAAGTATTTCACAATGTAAAATATGCCATAAATATAAATGTATCTATGTGTTATTTTAATGCTTTCACATAACTAGGTCCTTCATGACATGATTTAGAACATATTAGTAGAAGTGTATCCCAGAAATCTAGAGGTGGATGCATGCAGAGAGAGAGAATGAACAAGTGCGTAGAACGGGGCATCTGATAGTTAAGTTGGCTGGTCTTTCCAAAAGCATTGAATAGCCTTGGGAGGAAGAGAATGAAAAATCCAGGGTAACGTGTCATTTCTTGACTCAAAGTCTGATCTGATGGCGTTGTTTTCTGACCCTTCCTTACAGGTCATTCACCTCTGCTTTTCTCTTCTCCATTGAAGTCCAAGTGACAATTGGATTTGGAGGGAGAATGATGACAGAGGAATGCCCTCTGGCCATCACAGTCCTGATTCTCCAGAACATTGTGGGTCTGATCATCAACGCCGTCATGTTAGGCTGCATTTTCATGAAAACAGCCCAGGCTCACAGAAGAGCGGAAACCCTGATTTTCAGCCGCCATGCTGTGATTGCCGTCCGGAATGGCAAACTGTGTTTCATGTTCCGCGTGGGCGACCTGAGGAAGAGCATGATCATCAGTGCCTCGGTGCGCATCCAGGTGGTCAAGAAAACCACCACACCCGAGGGGGAGGTGGTGCCTATTCACCAGCTGGACATTCCCGTCGATAACCCGATTGAGAGTAATAACATTTTTCTGGTGGCCCCTTTGATCATCTGCCATGTGATTGACAAGCGCAGTCCTTTGTACGATATCTCAGCAACCGACCTGGCCAACCAAGACCTGGAGGTGATCGTCATCCTGGAAGGAGTGGTGGAAACCACCGGCATTACCACGCAAGCAAGAACCTCCTACATCGCCGAGGAGATCCAGTGGGGCCATCGCTTCGTGTCCATTGTAACCGAGGAGGAAGGAGTGTACTCTGTGGATTACTCCAAATTTGGCAACACCGTTAAGGTAGCCGCCCCCAGGTGCAGTGCCCGAGAGCTGGACGAGAAGCCTTCCATCCTCATTCAGACCCTCCAGAAGAGTGAACTGTCCCACCAGAATTCTCTGAGGAAGCGCAACTCCATGAGAAGAAACAATTCCATGAGGAGGAACAACTCCATCCGCCGGAACAACTCATCCCTCATGGTGCCAAAGGTGCAATTTATGACTCCAGAGGGAACTCAGAACACATCGGAATCCTGACAGCAAGACCACCCCCAGGAAAGTCGAAGAGTCTTAGGCAGGGCACCGTCAGACTGCTCCAAAGCTGGACCACACTTGTGTGGTCTTCTTTATCTCCATGCACTAAATGATAGTCATATTCCAGCAGCAGCACTTTCTGTGTCAATAAACCATCACACACCAGGTGGAGGGTTCATGGCTCACACTTGCTTCCTCCAGGCAGTACTGGCAGTCATAGGCTTAATTGTGTAAAGGAAATTCTCTCTCGTTTTCTTTCAATTTGAAACACAAGAATTACATTAATAGTCGTAGACCTTGAATACAAAAGCTGGCCAAGGATCAGTGCTGTTTGAAATGCTTAGATCTCTCTGAATCTGGTGTTTGCTCTAGAAAATGTGGGACCCAAACTTGTGTTTTTCCTTTCTCTTGTTCTTTCTCTTCCTCTTTCTCTCTCTTTCTTACGGTACCAGGTAAGAAGTCTGAGGCAAAAACTACTCAGTTCTAATCTACTTCTAAAAGGATTCTGTTCATTCACTTGGTTCTTCACAATGACTTCCAGAGGTTTCTTTGTCCTTCTCATGGCCACCTGTTGGCAGAACCAACCGGGCCAGGAGCTTTGGAGAAAAGCTAAGAACATTCCTGTCTCATTTAGGACTGGATTTCCCCAAACTGACAGCTATTCCTTTGGCTTCTTCCTTCTTCTTAAGAGCCTCCACTGTACTGAATGTTGTATTAAACTGTTTTCTTTGTATTCACTGTAGTTTTCTGATTTTCACCAAATATTCCCCAGTTAAAGCGCAAGGAAAAACAAATATTTTAGAGGCATGTGAAAGAGATAACACAGAGAGATAACATTCATCTCTGAGATCTCTCCCTGAGGGTCCCTCTCTGTGAGATCTGTTGTTCCAGGGACTACATTTTTTAAATTTCACTTTGATTTCATTTCGTTCCAAGTTGTAGAATGTTCTCTCGGCTTTTCTGTTTGAGCTTGATGTATCATGGAAATCCTGTAACCTTTTTTCTTTGAATCACCCACCTCCATTCTAAACTCTGCTTCCTTCTCGGTAATGTCTGAATTCAAGCCTGGCGTATATAGATTTGGCATTATCTCAGTTGCTAAAGTGACATTTTCAATCCATGCTTGATTGAATCACCCTTAGTTCTTGCTTCTTCAGGGAAGGGATAAGAACAAAGAGGTACAAAATAAATAACCTATAGGTTTATTCTTATATTTCCCATAGCTAAGCATCAGAAATCTGAGCTCTTGTGTAGCCTTTGACACAGATTTTGGAGGTTTGTATTTATTTTACTTCACTTATGAACATTGAAATAGGCAAGGAATCATGAATATATTAAAAAAAAAAACCTATTTTAAGCAGAAGACTCATGCTTCTAACCAGATGAATGGAGATTGTTTCTCAGGTTCCTGAGTTCATCATTTCTTAACATTTTCCACCACTCCTTAGAACTCCAGACTCGTATATCAAACAGGTACTTGAAGCTCCACTTGGATACCTAATACACATTTAAAAGTCACCGTGTCTAAAACCAGATGCTACATTCCCACTGGCAAAACTTGACCCTTCCCCCCAGCCTTTCTCCCAGTCACTCAGGCCAAAACCTGGAGTTGTACTTGACACCTCTCTCTCATACTTCATGTGCTCTCTGTCAGCAAAATCTGTTAGGTCTGCCTCCAAAATATATCCAGAGTGTGGCCAGTTCCCTAGCTCTCTACTGCCTCCTTCAGTCCAGTCTGGGTACCCATCACCCAGTATATATGGATGCAGCTGTACCAACTGTTAGAACACTGAAACATTTCTGTCTTAATAAGACATAGCACACCAGAGATCACAGAACTGCGTATCAGACCTCCTAGCAGTTCTGGCACAGATGTGGGTCCCCTACTCCCGTCCCAGGGCAGCTAAACAGACCAGCGATAAGAACATGTATGATGTTTGCCTGCTGCTCATTGCAGTGGCAGCTCAGTGTCTGTGAAGGTGACTCGGGTTGTGGGGCAGGTAATGTTGGTACATAGTGGGGCTGAGATGGAGGATTTCTGAGTCCAGGTGATGCAGAGAGCCCTGGCACCCAGGGCAAATCTAGCAGCGGAGCAGGAGCAGATCGCCCAGACACCTTCCAGCTGCAACCAAATGCTGGTGTCACGGACCTGATGGCCATCAATTTCATGGGGAAGTCAGTGGAAGAGGGTGATGGGCCCCCTGTATCAAGTCATGACTCAGATGAGGACATCCTTTAGCTAGTGACAACCACATCAAAAAAAAAAAAGTCACATCCATTTCTAGAAATCTACAAATGTTTTAGAACATTACGGTGATTTCAGAACATATTTTTGCTAAAATATATTTAACTGGCTAAGCACTATTGAAACTATTTAGTCTTATAAGATGACTGTGTGTATATATAATTATGTATTGAATTTAAATATAATTTTATATTAAATATTTAGATTCTTCACTTCTATCCTAGTCAGCCTACAGCAGCCACAATATTTTTTTAAATCATATTACATTGTGCCTCTGCTTAACACCCACCTATGGCTTTCCGTTTTTCGAAAAATGAAAATCAAAACACTTTCCAAGGCCCACAAGACACTACATCTTTTTACTACCTCTCCCCTCAGATCATTTCCACTTTACCACGCTGGCCTTGCTGTTCTTTGAAACAGAACCATATATACTCTCAGATCATGAGTTTGCTTCCACCTGGAGCGTTTCCCCCTGCAAGCCTCCTCCTGTGATTATTTAGGGTTTCTGCTCCAGCGCCCTCTCACGAGAGAGTGCAGTATGGTGGTTAAGAAAATAGACTGTAGCAAGACTCTCTTGCTTTCAATTCAGTTTTAACACTTAGCATCTGTGAGGTCTGGACAAAAGTAAGTACCTTCGTTGTGACTCATTTTCTCCATACATAAAATCAGAATGATTATAGTACCTACCTCACAAGTTGTAACTGAGTTCATGTGCATAAAAAGCTAAAATAGTGTCATTCATTCACGAAGGACAAAAGCTGGAAATGAAGGACTGCCTGGAAATTGACTAGACTCTTAGTAAGTGACGAATTCAACACATTACATATGTCCTCTAGGACAGAGAAAAATGATCTTTGCCACATGAACCTGATCTCTTACAAACTCTGCAGTAGAGAACTTATACCTGCCCACTCACTTTTGTTTTTCCAGATTCTTTAACACCTGCCACCTGCCCGTCATCAAATAGTGTAATGTGTAAAATATGACAGTGTGTAAAGGGAAACATTTTACATACAGAGGAGGTTTCCGCTGTCACCTATCTGTCATTTATTTGTTCATCCAGTGACAAATATTGAACATCTGCCATCTGGCGAAAACAACTAGGTGTGTTTCTTTTCTTTTAGGCGGAGTGGGACGGTATAAGCAGGCTAGGTGCTGATGCTGCCCGAAAGTAGTCTGAGATGGAAAGAATCAGGAGGGGAAAAGGGGCTCAGGGTCCAGAATTGCAGAAGAGACAGTTCCACTTCATAATCGAAATTGAGACCAACCCTTGGTTACTAGACAGACGTGACACCAGCAGATCCAGAGCTATTCCCCAGTAGCTCTGGGGCCAGCTGGCTGAGCAGACAGAACACTACTCATCCTTAAAACCATCATTTTCCCCTGCTTTACTTTACCCCAGTGCCACAGGTTTATTCCACAATTCCTCATCACTTGCCACTTGGCTGAAGACTTTCTCTGAGTAAAAATCCTGTCCCCCCCAGCCACAGACATTTCTAAATATTTGGCCCAGTGTCCTGACACATAAAGGTCTCAGAACCAGCAGTGACTTAAATAAATGGCCCCCAGTTCCCAAAGAAAGTCTAACTCCCAGAGAAGTGGTTAGCCACTTAGTAAACATGAAGCAGCATGTTTTTCCCTTCCATTGGTTGATTTTTCTTATTGCTGTTTAAAGATTTGACATTTATGGGGCAAGAAATTTCCTCTTGGATAAAAACATAATTATAAAGAAGAAAGAATGAAAAGATGTCTAGATCTCTTGGGGTTCCCCCTCCCAACTTTTGTCATTTTTACCATGTCAGAGGTAGCGACAGAACTGAAATGAGTGTCTCCAAGGACCCGTGCATTAAAATAACCATAACAAATCCTACAGGCTGTTTAAGAGGAAACCCAAGGGCCACGCTCTTCCCATGATCTTTATGCACAATTCCCATCAATGGTGATGGGAATTCCCTACAGACGGAGGAAGGAAGTTACTCTAATTACACCCCCTTGATAATTTACCGCACAGATCCAAGTTTAAGTTCATGAAAATCTTAACCAGCCTTTCACTTCAGACCAAAATACCTCATCGGAGCCAAATTTCATTTTAGATTATTTACATCTTCATTCAGACTCATTTTCAGTAGTTGTCCCAGTTCTCAGAAACTGTACTGTATGACACCCCTCCCCCAAATCTAATACTCTCTGGGGTCATTTAAATGCAACTCTTACTTTGCACAGTGTTTACATTAATCACTTGAGAAAACATAAAAATATGAAGGCTGGGTTTCCACCTACTGTTGGATTAACTTCAGTTTGTATTGCATAAATGTTGAAAACATGGAGGATAAAAGAGTTATCTGTAAAACTGAAGTTAAAATACACCTTTCACTGAAGCCATACATGTTAACAGATTTTTCAAAAGTCTTCAATTGCCTGTCATTGACTGTTGGAAAAAAGTCTACACTCTTTAAGCATGACAGTCAAAGCACTTTGCAGTTTGATTCCAACATTTACAGTCTTGCTTCCTGACCTGTTCAAACAGTGTCACGTGTAAAACCCTACAATGTACAACATGATGCTTCACGTTCACTGAGCGCTTCACTCCTCAGTCTCCCAGACAAGTCGGCACATCTCTGGGGTTGAAAATCTGTGCTTTCTCTGTCTACCGAAACTACTGCTTTTACAATGCCTTCTCAAATCCTCCATCTGGATTACTTCTTTATCCCCACACTGTGTACCTCTGTTGATTGGCTATTTCATAATAACTGGTGTTCTGTAATGTTTTCATATCATATACATCTCTCCTCAGATTGTAAGTCTTTTCTCCAGGTTACTTAGCACAGTGTTTGCCTAAAATAGATGGTGAAACAGCCTGACAATTCCCTCTCCCAAATCCATTCTTCTCTACTTCAATAGCAACAGAGCTGCCGCATTCCCCACCTCTACTGCCATTAGCTGTGGCCATGTGCCTAATTTGGGGCCAATGGCCTGAGAGCAGGAGTCAAATGGACTACTTCTCATTCTTGATTTTAAAAACCCTGAGCTTATGTTTCTCTATCCTCTTTCCCTACCTGTGGACCAAACAGATATATGGTGGAGACCAACTTTGACCAAGATGATGATGTGAAGAATATTCCATTGTGTATATAAATATAAACATATATATACATACAAACATATACAACACATATATACATATATATTTATGTACAAATGGAATATTACTCAGTCATAAAAAAGAATGAAAGAATGAGCAAAGTGGATGAATATTGGGCTTAGTGAAATAAATGAGACAGAGAAAGACAAATACTGTATGATATCACTTATATGTGGACCTAACAAAATACAAATTAAGTATATGCAAAAAAGAAACAGGCTCACAATATAGAAAACAAACCAGTGGTAACCAGTGGTAACCAGTGGGGAGGGGGAGGGGCAAGTTAAGAGCATGGGA